ACAGTGTAATTATTAATAGTTATTAATAATTATTTGTATAAATTATTAATAGCAATGTACATCTCTTTCTGGTTTCTCTCAATTTTCTAAGCGTCTAAAATCGCAGATAGATTCTTCGACATTACCGTAATTAATTCCGGGTCGCTGCTAGTTCACATCCACCCGCTTCTATCGCTCAACAATACAATTGAGATGATTTTGCAAGTATCGCAAAATCGTATAGATATTACTTGGGGAACCTTTGACGCACAAACGACGCCAGTACGATTTAAAATTTACAATTCTCGATCGCGGCCCGCCTACGTTATTCACGCATGAGCAGTCCCTTTCGCATAACTAAGGATAAGAGACCAAACAAAAAAATTGCAGCAGTGGAAGATATATTTAGCTTGCAGAACAAGATTCCGAGGTTATTAACAGCGAGTTCCGATTGGTAACTATAATTAATATCGTTACAAATCGGAAAAGGGAGTGTACGCGCGCTCTATGCAACGTAACAATATTTAATTAAAGCAACTAGATTTGTAAAACAATGATTGGAGATTAATGTTCACTTGTGCGAGCTGTCATCCCGTCATTAGCATTCAATGCGACGCATATCTCGTACCTCGCAGTCTCTCGCTCTCTGACAACTCGCGTCGATTTGCATATTTCTAAACTTTCGCCAGTCAATCATGAACGAGCATCCGCGACATGACTTTTACGGTCCATTATCGATAGTCCCGCGCATATCGAATTAATTTCCCGAAGAAAAACGCACTTCGGTCTCCGTTTACCTCGCAATATCTCGATATCGAAATCGCGAATACGTAATGCTGTCTCTCGTCGTTAATATTATTCACTGAGATGTGTACGATGCAATTTTCTTCGATGCAAATGTCTCGGAGACGATTTGCGATTTATAAAAAATGAAGAAACACAGAACAAAGTTGAAGAATTGATATGTCATTAATAACATTGTTCAACACCAAATTTGCCTTAAGTTCTATCAAGTCATTTCTGGTAGATTGTTTAGCGCTGATTACAAATCTGGCCGTAAAAATGGCGTATCACGTCAAGTTTTTGAGAAAACCTCAGTCAAAGTTGCTAAGCGTTTTTGATACTTTTGCGTGAGTTATATCTTTCGATGGAGACGTGCTCCAGAAAGCAGCGATAGCTCAAAATGAAGCTTAAGACTTATATTTTATGATAAAAATGCCAGAAGTACCAGGCAGAAAAGGTTCTCCTGAAAAAAAGTGATTGAAACATAAGAAACATCATTTATCGCAGTGTCCTCCAGTCATATGTTTCCAATTGTCCGTTACTAAAATACTAGTGTCAAAAACTACTCTAATTTTGTTCTTCAAGTGATAGCGACCATAAAAACCTTACATATACCCACTTCCATGATTTGAATGATTTTTTAAAAATTTGATCCGCCATTTTGGATCCTCCATTTTGAATTTTGAAATTTCAACACGTGATGAGTGATGAGTGACTAGACGAACGTATACATATCGACTTTCAAGATTAAAATGATTCCTTTTTTAATTTTCTTTTTTAAATTTTTTAATAACTCACGCAAAAGTATCAAAAATGCTTATTTTAGCAACTTTGACTGAGGTTTTCTCAAAAACTTGACACGATACGCCATTTTTACGGCCAGATTCATAATCAGCGCTAAAAAATCTACCCGAATTGACTTCATAGAATTGAAGGCAAAAAAAAATGGTCTTCTTTTCGACCAGTGTAATCAGTAATAATTTATTATAAATAATTGTATTACTAAGATACACGGGAAAACTTCGTGCTTTTAAGATAAATTATTTCTCAAAAGGCGATGAAATATAAATAAAACTTTCTTCAATTCAAATTAAATTTTTTTGTGTTTTATTTATAAAAGACACGCATGATTGAACTCGTGTATAAGTGCGGCATGCGCGCTCGAAATGGCTGTGTTTCCGCGATTGATAGTAATAATCTGATTGATGTATCAACCGTCGTTTACGCCGCCAGTCCACGTTAAACGAAGCGTATCGCTCGCGGACGAGAGAAAGAAGTAGGTGGCATCCCACCGCAGGAAGTTAATTAACATCACGGACAGCACCGTCGAGTCTCGGGATGAAGAAACGAGCTAGATCTAAATAAACCAGAAACTCACGTGAACGGCGCGTCATATCTCTCGCAAAGTATCTACCTGCACTTATCTGAAGGTACTTATGACGTATGCTTAAACGAATGTTCATTGCCTACAAATAGTCGATTTTTCAATCAATCCTCATTACTGACGAAATTCATCATCCCTCCCCGCGTCTTTTCAAAAAGAGAAAATAACATTCGACTCTTCTAATATTACTTGCTTCACATGAATAATCCCACGCGCAAAATTGAGAATGTAACCAAAACAAAATCAGAATTTATTTAAATATATTAATGTGTACTGGCTTTATATATAAATTTACTTTAAATTATATTCTAATGTGTTAAGATATTTAAATATATTCTAAAAATGTGTAAGAATATTTAAATATACTAAAATATATGTAAGATTTTTTTTTGCTTACATATGGAAAGACATATGTAAATAAATAACAATGATTCTAATTGTGTCGAATATGCTGTATAATTTTCGCGTCTATCAAGCAATTAGAAAATTAAAAAAAATAATAATCGCGAAGGAATCACAAGACGTGGACTTGTACTTTTAGCACTTTAAGCAGAGACGATATCACGTTCCATTGAGATTGCAGGATTCTTCTACTGTAACGGACGACCGTACATTATGTGAGCGATAGGAACCTTGGTTATCAGCGCGGTGACGAGAGAGAAGAAAGAGAAAGACAACGCGCGCTGAATGATTACGATTTATGGGATTGTTCGTGGTAGCCTTGTGGCAATCTGGCGGTTGTCCGATCTCTCGAGTATTCTCGCGGAATTTGTCGACCGGATCCGGTAAAGGTGCCGCCACAACGAGGCGTATCCGAATTTTACGCGCGGCCTCTTACAAGATCGTTCGTCTCGCTTGTCAGGGATGTTAAATTCTAATGTCTGTCGTATCAAGTGTAAATGTCTTTATAACGTTTTAATGCGACCGGACTATTACGCCACGACACGCTTGAGTTATCCCGCGCGGTGTACTTTGCTTTTGGTGCTTCTCGCATCGTCTCTCTGTCTGTTGATTCTAATTTACACGGTAGCGTCGAGCTTTTTACCTCGTCTCTTTGCGGCTGGCACGAAGTTGAAGTTTCTGACGTTTCATTTAATCGTTTCCATTCATCTACGCCGCGCGTACTCGATTTGAACGTTGATCGAAATCGTTTGTGTAGTTTCGCTCAAGTCGTATGTTCAAAATAAATTTATGGAAAGAATCGACATTGTAACATCGATTATTAAGAGTTTATATATCACTTTTTCAGATAAAAATATAAATAAAACTTATATATGCGATATAAATAAATATATTTAAAAAAACGATAAACCACTCCAAATTTTTTCCAAAATTTAAATTTTTCTTCAAAACCTTAATTCTTAATTTGTTTCGAGATAGTTATACAGGGTGTCTATCCAAAACTTCTAAAAAAATTCCCTGAGAATTCCATGATTTTTCAGGTAATTTGTTCAAAATTCCAGGTAAAATTATAAAATTTTTAGATGAAGTTTTTCAAAATAAATTTTTTTTGTGTGCGTTTTCTAATGCTTTTCTTATACAAAGAAAAATAAACCGCTTAAATTTTAAATATTAAATTTAAAAATGTACTGAAAAGAACTGAATGACTTTTGTAAAATAAGCATTTTTCATTTCCATAATATTTTCATTTTCTATCATTAATTGTAAGAATTACAATAAAAAATGTGTACTCAATATTGTGCACTCAGTATTTTTTGTTATGACAATGAGCATAATCAAAGAAAAAGATATATATTTATAATATATTTAAAATATATAATTCATAATCATTGGCTAATTAGATTGCCGATGCTTGCAATATAAGAATAAAAAAGAAAATTTTTTAAAAAAATTTCCTGAGTTCAAATAAATTTCTATGAGAATTCCCTGATTTTTCAATGGTAAAAAACGAAATCCCTGAAAATTCCTGGTTTTCTAGGTTTTTCTAGGGAGTAGACACCTTGTTATAAGATGAAGAAGGCGAGGATCGATACAACTTTTGACGATCCAAATAACTCGCGTTCGTAAATATAAGCGTAAATTAAAATTAAACGGATTACGCGATCGGTATAAAGAATATTTCAGCTCTTTAAATCTCAAGCAACATTCTGAAATCATGACTGCTGTCAGAACGGGTAAGTACAGCGAGCCTAGAGTATGGCCGGGATAAATATCTCGGGTTTTGCTTAGAATAAGATGAAGGGCCGCGCATTACTCTTCATGTTCGCGTCTCGGCTAAATGCAGGCATGCACAGGGCTGCCTTCGTTCTGGCACATACTAGGGCCCTTTTCTTTGTGGGACCATCAATATCGCAATCAATAAGTTTAGACCCGTACGCGTATAACGCATATATACGTAGCGTAAGTTTTTCGATTCTCACCGTCATTTTAAATCATTTATGAAAAATCGATTATATCACACAATTATAATTCTTTCACAATCCATTACCATAATTGTAAGAAAGTATAATTAAATCTTCGTTTATTTTAAGCGCATTTTCTTAAATTTATTTTATGAGACAAAAGAAAGTGGGATTATTTAATTTATGCACAGTTCATACTGTGATTTTGTGCTAAATACAGCCCTGAGAACGAGGTACTTCGTAACTAACGAAAAACTTTGCAGCTATCAAAACTAGCGAGCGCATAAGCCGCGTAACGATGCAATTTTCTCTTGAAAGTAATTAGACTTGTTAATGATCGTTATACGCTGCTTGGCTTGTCGGCCATTATTTATCGAAAAATATGCGGAAGATTACTGGTTCTCTCATTAAGCTTTCGCGTGATTTTTTTAGATTTATTTTAATAGAAGTCTGAATGAAACGAATAGAAAGCATGCAATGGCGGCACTTACCTTTGCAGCCGTTCGCCGATAGGTCGTAGTGGTCCACGTCGCAGCGATCGCACCGGAAGCCGACGACGCCAGGCGCACACCTGCATACGCCGCTTACGGAATCGCAGAGTCCGTCGCTCGTGGCACCCACGTCGCAGTCGCATTCCCGGCAACCTGCAGTCACGTTCCCGTAGCCTTCGATGCAGGAGGAACAGTCACGACCGGTGAACAAAAGCCGGCAGGGACACTGACCGGTCGTCTGCTCGCATTGGACCAAATTGCTACCGAAGGGGGAGCAGTTGCATGCTAAAGGACAAACAAAATTATACGTTTATAATATGTTTCATTAGCATATTTTAGTCAGTACATCAATTTGTTTTGTAATTTGGCAAATATCTAACCGTCATTTTCAGCAGAGTTTATAAGAAACCCTTGATTATGTATAAATTTTCATAAAAGATTTTATACACTGTAACATTTAATTGCATTGCATTGCTGCAAGATATAAAAGATGTAAAACTGTTTATGCTCACGCATGCAATTCTGATCCAAAGGATTCCCGAAATGCGCCTCCTTGCATCTGTCACATTTCCAGCCTTCGGTATTGCCGCGGCACTCTAAGCAACGACCCGTTTCCTGATCGCAGGCACCACCCTTGCAAGGACACCGCTGGCAGATACCACCGGGCGTCATAGGATTGCCATAGAATCCTACATCACAACTTTTAACCAAGATCGAAATTAAAGCTTTTCGATAATAGCATTTTAATCATAAATTTATTATACGTTATTTCGAAAAAAAGATCGAATAATTATTATAGTCGTTATAAAAAAAATACAATACAATAAGATACTTTTTTTATGTTACGTAAAGTATATAGTACTTTTACATACATTTTTTCATGTAATATAAGTTTTAACACATCATACAAGTTTTTAAATAAAGAGATCGTAAATGATAAATTTTCTTTGAATAATCTGATTGAAGCTAATTTAAAATACTATATTTCGGAACTTTATAAGAAATCGTTATTCAACATATAAATAATTCTTTTTCTTTACCTTTCGCAATGATCTCCGGTATAGCCTTCGGGACATTGCGTGCATACATATCCACTGTTAATATCAGTCGGTTCATCAAGCTGACAACTCGGACTGAAATTGTTGGATTCGATGGAAAGTGGACAAGCGCATTTCTTACAGTCTTCGCTGGTGCCTCTCGTTGCGATACCGTAATATCCTATAGCGCAACGATCGCATTTTGGACCCACTGTATGATGTTCGCAAATCTTCACAAAAAATTATGCAAAAGATATAAATTAACAAAACAGTGACTTATAAGAGTAACAAATTAAATTTATATCAAAAAGATCTAATTCTTTTAAACTTCAAAAATATATATATAAAAAAGATAAATTTACTAAAAGCGATTTGAAACAAAATTGCAATAAATATAAATTAAATAATTATATTTAAACAAGCAAAAGAGGGAAAATGAAAAAAGCCAGCTTTAAGTTTTTATTATCAAATCTTTAAAATTAGAGAATCTTTTTAAAAGAAAGGTATCTGTTATTGTTATATGTATAATACGAATATTCTACGAGTAAATTGATTGAATGCTGAATCGATAAATTAGTTCGCGTGATCGATGAATCTTGTGATCTATAAGACGCAGTTCGCAAGATCAATGCAAGTATAGATACCTAATGTAATCTACTATGCCGATTGAAGAACAGAATATAACAGTGAAACGTTCAGATCTTTCAGGGTTCATGTCTATGTTAAAGTCAGTTGCACACTGGTGAACTTTTCTTATATATCATCTATGCGGTTATTATACATATATTTTCATTAGGAAAAAGTTTGTTTAACACTAAACTTAATATAAATTTAATTAATATTTTTTTAATTAATTAAATATTTTAATCTAGAAAATAAGTTATATTTTTTGCATTGATTTCGTCATTTATTTTAGTTATGGACAATAAAATAATAAAAAAATATTCTTTTATATTTATTTCTTACGATGTATTTTGTATTTTAATTTTATATATATTAAAATAAATTCACCAAAACTTACTCCACATTCACCCATCATGAGATCGCAAGAGCCCGCGTGGCCGTTGCAGTCGCATTTCACGCATACGTGATGATCCTGATGATCGGAACCGTTGATCGGCTCGCTCACGTATCCCCAAGCGCATCTCTCGCATGACATTCCCGTGTATCCCTCGGGACACTCGCATATTTCGACTAAATTGTCGGTTTCGCCATCCGGCGATAATTCGCCCACCGCCAATATGGCAGATTGGAGACTGAAAAAAGAGTAATAACAACAGTAATTAATATAAATTCAAGTATACAAGTTGATATGATAAAAATTTGCCGATTCACATACCTTCCCTCGATCTGCTCCGAATGATACCGCGCTCTTATCATCAGGTACTTCAGATCAGCGAGGACACGCATCATCTGCATCCTCGTTACAGGATCGCCGCGAAACTCGGTTCTTCTCAACCTCGGTTTCGTCGAAATGTCCTGCACTTCGCTTCGCACATGATACCAGCCATGTTCTCGTAGAGGCACCACGATTTCAGCTTCTTGACCAGTGTATTGTTCTTCGCCGTACGCTATGCGCATCCCATTGTTACCCTAAAGATAAAAATTATATGTTGTTATACATCTATTTTCCTCTAAAACTTTAGGATTATAATGTATGCAAATATGCGAGAGCCGGATACTTACAACTAGAATAATGCTAGGCTCCGTGGTGGGTTTACCGCTGGTGTCGCCTCGCATGACAACCCACGTAACCGAGTACGTGAGATTGCTGCCGTATGAAGATACGCGATTTCCCGTGTAGATCAATGGCGCCAGCCAGAAAGGGCTGTCATATTCGACCTCGAACGCCGCCACGGTTAACCATCCGTTGTCCGTGTCCAAGGTGGGGACGACTGGCCGAGACGCGTTCATGTCGGTCACCAACCAGTTCTCTAATGTAGAGATCTAAGAAAAATATAAATTTAATTTTTGTATTTATTACATCATAGTAATTCACGTTATTTTATTTTGCTGTCACAGAGTCACAGATTTTTGCAGTATGATCATATCCATAATAAAAAATCATTCATATATAGGGTGTTAAAAAAAAAGGATTCAGGACTACTTGAAGGGCAGATAGTACTCACGAAATGAAGGAAAAAAGTCCTAATAAACATGGATCGAAAAATTAATATTGTCAGAGATATAAATAATTTTTCATTTTAGTTAAAGTAAGTGACTTACTCACTTCTGGTGCTCTCGCGCGACATGAAAACAAACATTATGACCTCTGTAAAGTTGGTCGCCCATTTTTGAAATTTTAAAAAAATTGTTGGAGTTCTGGATGCCCCCCAAAGAGTTCTAGAATTCTTTATCAGTTTTAGAAATAGCTCCATTGTTTAAAGAAAACTCTAGAACTCATCGGGGGGCACCCAGAACTCTAACATTTTTTTTTTTTGATTTTGGAAATGGGGGGCCAACTTCACAGAGGTAACATTATGACGAATTACATCAGAGAACACAAAATGCTTGTCAAATAATTAAAACAATACGGGATTTTTTTAAAGAGTTCGCAATTTTGTGACACGAAGATGTAAAGCATGTATGGAAGTGGGAGAAGGACATGTAGAAAATCTTCTGTAATCTTTGAAGTTTAAAGAATTCTTCTTCTTTCTTCTTTTGGAAGAACAAATTTTTCTTTTAGATAAAAAAATGGTAAGATATTCCGTTGTTGACGAATTGTTGATAATTTCAACAATATTAATTTTTCGACCCATGTTTATTAAGATATTTTTTCTCCATTTCGTCAGTACTATCCGCCCTTAAAATCCTAAATCCTTTTTTTAACATCCTGTAGATTTGAAAATTTTAAATGGTAAGAATGTCATAAAATGTTCAGAGTTTAATATTATCAAAATTTTATTATCAAAATATGAGAAGAATTTTCTTTGCATTAAAAAAGAAAGACTTACCATGTTGTACGATAATGTTGCGGTGGTGCAGCGATCTGTTGCGTCGAAGCAATAGCAGGACAAGCAGCCATCGACGTTATCCTTGGTGAGCGCAAAGTATCCCGATTTGCACCGATCGCAAAAGTCCCCGGCGACATTCGCCTTGCACAAACAGTCACCCTCGCAATCGTGAGATGGCAGAATCCCTCGGGAATCGCAGGGACACGGCATGCAATCGGGAAATTGTCGATAACCAGCCGCGCATTGATCGCACTTGTATCCCGAATATCCCGGCTTGCACTCGCAGGCACCTGCTACCTGTTTAAACGAAAGCTGATATGTTCACATCGATTAAAATCAATCGTGAAAATTGGCCGCGCGGCCAATCAGGAAAAATCATCCACATAAATCATGCACAGGATTATCGCGCGGCTAATTTTTCTTTCTTTCTTCAAATTCAGCAAAAGTAAAAAAGAAAGAGATTAATAAGGCTTTATATGTAAAGACACAAATTTGAATTTCGCAGACTATTAGAATTGACACGTTGCCAATCTGCGTCTGGCTCTAACCCGCGAAATTCAAATGTGTTTTCAACGAAAGTAGTTACGGTAATTTTATGTCGTGTGTGATACAAAAAAATGTCGTTTATTACTCCAAAAAAGCTTTTTTTATTTATTAAAGAGATTGGACACCAAAGTTCACATGCAAAGAAGATATTTTATAATTTAAACCAGTTTGAAATTTTTAACATAAAAATTTAATTTTTATTTAACTTTATTTTAAGTAGATATTTTTTTTTGCTGAGATTTTTTATGAATAATGTCATTTACTCCAAAAAAGCTGTTTTTTATTTATTAAAGGGATTGGACACCAAAGTTCACACGAAAAGAAGAAATTTTATAATTTAAACAAATCTAAAATTTTTAATATAAAAATTTACTTTTCATTTAACTTTATTTTAAGTAGATAATTTTTTGTTGAGATTTTTCTATGGAGAATTGATATAGAAATTACCTTTCCCATACGCGTGTAGGAATCGTCAGGAGTGCAGTAGCCTGTACTACCATGTATGTTGCAGTCGCAGGGCAAGCATGGTTCTGATGCATCAGGCGCAACGCCGTTTGGCCTGTAGTAGCCGCTCTCACAGTTTTCACAATTAATACCAGCCGTATGATCCTAATTCAAGTTTTGCAAATAATTATCTTCTCATTGCAAATAATATCGTATTGTAAAAAAATATATTCTTAATATTCTTAAAAAATCCCGTTATTTTTTAAATATATATTTGACACATTTATTATCAAACATTGATAATTATAGAAATATTGTAGTATTTATAAGTTTAATTATAAACATAATTTTTACAAAACACAAAAAATAAGTATTTTATCTTAGTATATTTTTTTACACAAATAATCCTCCAACGCATTTTCCAAAACAGATTCTCTTTCAAATATTTGACTTCGAGTATTTAAAAATGTGCAAGAATAATTAAATTAAAAGAAAAAATGAGAAAAAAATAGCTCTCTTTCTCTTTCTGTATTTAATTAATTATTCTTGTAAATAGAAAACCATTCGTTTCCAGAATGTACGTACAATAAATCATGTTTTGTATTATTTTTTTTATCATCTCACCGTGCAATTGACGCACACGCCACCGCCTCGGTGTTTCCCACGAATATCCATGGACATTCTCCTGTCGGCCACTTCCTGGTCGTATATGCAGGACGTTGCGTGGCCGTTGCAATTGCACATCTCGCAGTGAAAGCCCTTGCCAGCTGTGCCGGGCCTCCAAGGAATCTGATTGTACATGGGGCAGCATTTTTCGCATCTTTCGCCGCACGTGTGGCGCTCGCATTGGCATTCCTAATGCTGAAAGATAACGAGAAATGCGTTTATCAGATGCCGCGAAATGTCCATGTTCTTAGATTATGTATATTCTCGCCAAGTCGTATCGCGAATGCGCGCGATCTATTGCTCTTGATAGAACAATGTAAGGAGGCATTTACTAATCGTTTGCTACACAATTTTTCCATTATTTCTGTTTATCTTCAAAGAAACACTCGTAAACGTCCTTACTTATCGCAGAGTGACTCAGGATTTATTTTATCCGTTCTATTTCTCCGATTCGTCACATTTTGACAACGCGTGATCTTTAATCACTGATCATTATAAATAAATTAATAAATTTTCATCGTTTGTATAATCTGATTTTTTTATTATTAATATCAGATTATGAGTAAAAAAATTAATAATTTTAATAACCAATGTTTTTTTTGCCACTTGATATATTTTACGATATGTAACAAAATATAATAGCATCGAGGCTCAAGATTGGGAATGATTGAATTGTTGATTATATAATAGTATGAATCGATGCATTCAATAATATTACAAGCTGTCCGATTATTACGAAGTCATAAAGACAGAACTTTATAGTCGCGGTTACACTTATCCGAGTATGCGTAAACGATATGCGTATAATCGCGGATAACTATATCGCCGGACATAAAGCGAAGTTTTCATTGCGCTGGACTTTATACATTCGGTTTACGAGTATGTCTCTCTTTGTCGTCTCAAGGATCCAGCAATCGTCATAACATCGCGAAAATAGCGTTTGCGGCCAGCGAATCGTTCACAATCGTAACAGTGGCAAAGATAAAGCACAAATAGTTCAAATATTCGAGTATCTCTCCTTGACAAATGGAAGGCAACTCCTTTTTCCGTACATAATATCGAAAATAGAAAGGCACATAATCGGAATATTTGAATTATATAATAAATTAAAATAAATGAATCTGTAGAAACTTCCTAATTCAAAGTGTCTATCCAAAGCTTGTAAAAAAATTTTGAGAAAAATTCTGAGAATTCCCTGATTTTTCAGGTAATTTGTTTAAAATTCTAGGTAAAATTAGAGAATTTTTTAGATGAAACTTTTTAAAAGAAGTTTTTTTTTTGTGTGCGTTTTCTAATGCTTTCCACTCATACAAAGGAAAAATAAACCACTTAAATTTTAAATATTAAATTTAAAAATGTACTGAAAAGAACTGAATGACTTTTGTAAGATAAGCATTTTTTATTTGCATAATATTTTCATTGTCTATTATTAATTGTAATAATTACAATAAAAAATGTGTATTCAGTATTGTTTGCTATGACAATAAATATATAATCAAAGAAAAAAAGATATATATTTATAATATATTTGAAACATATAATTCACAATCATTGGCCAATCAGATTGCCGATGCTTGCAATATAAGAACAAAATGCTCAAAAAGAGAATTTTTGAAAAAGTTCCCTAAGTTCGAATAAAATTCCATGAGAATTCCCTGATTTTTCAAGATAAAAACGAAATCCCTAAGAATTCCAGGTTTTCTAAATTTTTCCAGAGAATAGACACCTTATAATTAAGTGTAACACTATATAGCCTTCGAGCGATAAAATTAATAATTAATGTAAAATTGTAAATGTCAGCTATTAATATTATTAAATAAATGCGCTCTCTCTGTCGGAGTTATCTCGATTGACCCGGCAATTATCGGGGACGTACATTGAATTGGGCCGAAGAAATCGCGCGAAAAATTAGCGCCAAAAATAAATTGCGAGATTAGTGTGCCCCCATGTCACCGTATTTCATGTCGTATCGCGTGCGGAAGAAAAGTTAACGCGACGTGTGCGGTCTTATCATTGATGTGAGAAGCGAACAAACTACTTCGGTCAATCGCGATATTCCTTCCTTCCTCCGTTAACACGTGCTCGATATTATTTACTGCCGGTGATAATGGCCACCCAGTTCGCGATCGACGATCACAAGTCCCGGTTTCTGCAATTACTCTTTTGCCGCGGCGTCGTTTAACAAACCCGAATTATATTTCATCGGGAACTGTAATGTTCCGGCACCGTTATTCTCGAATCGAGATATGAGCCGGTCGAAAAATAAAAACCTTCCGATTTTATATCGGGTGCCCCGATCGAATGACTCGACCTTAATTTCCACGATCAATTTCTTCGACTGATCTTTCTCTTATTAAAAGAAGGAGATCGATAGTTTTCGGATTAGATAAAGCGATTGGAAAAAATACTACACTCACGAAAATCAATTGTGTAAATATTAATAAATTGTAAAAAAAATTTACATAATCTGGTTATAAATCTTAAATTATACGCTGTCCGAAAATTGCACGATCCTGTCTCGATTAAGTCTCGTGGAATAGTGGAATACGTTTAAAAACTAGAAATCATTAGTTGAACAGAGATATTGATAATAGCAGTAATATAAATGACTGCATAAATGGCTGAGATAATGTGTTTTTTGCGGGAAGACCAATGTTTCGAGACAAAAGCTTTAATGAAGCTACAAGAGATTTATGTCACATAAATGAACCGCAAGATAATGTAAAGCGTTTAAATCTTCTACAAAGAAAAAGCATTAAAATGTTTTACATAATGAGAAGAAAATTAATATTTCTTCAACATAGAGATATAAAACTGAGAGTTTAATTTCTCTCAGTGTCTTCTATCTGGTTTCTCAACATTTAATTTAAAGGATCTTTTAAATAAAGAAAATTAATGAGAGGTTTTATAATTTATTTTCCGTTCTTGAGAAAAGATTTAAACAAGATTCGCAAAAAGATTAATTAATTAAATGTAACTGCCCGGAACGCATTCGGGATGATGAGGCGGTCAGAGAGACGTCAATGCTAAAATGACCGTGACAGTTATACGGAATTGATAGAGGCACAATGCTCCGCAATGTTCTCATCCGCAGTTATAGATAGACAAAAAACCGTCAACATCCCGTAGACTCTCGCGTTTCCTTTTTTTGCGCCTCGCTATATCTGCCATTGCACTTCCCGCAATAATTCCCCCGCTTCGATTCATAACAACGAGCTGAATGAACTTGTACTCGTGACTCCGTATCGGATGAACGAACGTCGTGAAAATTCCACGAGCAAAATACTACGCGGAGGTCAATGCCCATCCTATAGTGCGGTGCTATAGAGATACGTGGCGTTGCATCATGAATGACACGATAGCTATTCTATCGTATTTACACGCCTACGGTTTCGCGAAAAGCCTGTCCGATTCTTGGAATGTCAAGGCACATTGGCAACGATACAAGAGGCAAGCTGCAGAATTCGATGCATCATGTTCTTCTGTCATTTTACAAAAGCGATAGATAAAATTTCTTACGAATAAAAAGATCTTATCTATATATGTTCGAGGTTTTCATGTATTTTTTAAAATCTTGTTTTAAATTGGCAAGAGAACAAAGTTCTATAATTATAAAAAAAATTTAGTTTTTTCAAGTTTAATATTAATGTGCACTCTAAAATTATATATTATAATAAGTAATTTTATTAATAAATAAATTTTTTTTTATATTAAGATATTAACTAATTCGTAAAATTTAAGGATGTATGTGTCATATATCAAAACATTGACAAAGCATGAAAATTTCGTAGACTGTTCTACTATTTCTTCTGAGTATCTGTGCAAAATCTGAGCACAATTCTCTTAACGGTTTGAAAATTATTTAAGTTTAAAGTTAGTATTGATTCCTATGGAAAATTGCATATTGTAGCACTTATTGACAAATTTGATAAGGAAGAAACATTGCTTACAAAATAAAAATTTTCACACACATTAAGAAAACTCTAATAAATATTTGTGCAAAACTTGATTTAGATCCATTTACTCGTTTAAAAGTTATTTAATAAAAATTATAGAAAAATATTATCTTTCTCTCTCTTTCTGCAAATTACTCATTTTTCTTTGTTTCTTGCAGTTGATTTCAGGGGGTATTCACGATCAAAAGTTTTTGTCATAAATTGGGAAAAATATTAATTACAACTATTTTCTTTTACGAAGACGTTAAAAACCGTATTATTTTGTGATACTTTAATTTTTTTTATAATCCGGATTTATTTATTTGATTTTTCAGTATAACAATTTTTCAGTAACAAAAATGTTTTTTTTTTTTTTAATTTTGACAGGTTTTTGCTAATATTGTACAGTCAAAACTTAAGTAAAATGCAGATAATAATTTTGACAATACGTTAAATTTAAATGAATTGTAAGAGAATACTGCTTCTCAAGAACTTTATACAAAGATTATTTTTCTTTTTTAATTTTGCACTTTGTCTACAGAATAAGACGATCGTAATACGACTCGAAGAGGCGTTTCGCAATTCCAAGCGACAACGTCGGTAATTGTTAGGGGACACGGTGAACTATTATTGTCTGTTAAAGCCGGCTGTATAGAGCACATGACTCGGCGAATGTCCATTCTCGGATTGTAACAAGCGAGGATTCGTGTTCCTGCAGCTGTGAGAAGAAAATAGAGAAGATGAAGGAGCCTAGCTTCGCGAAGAAATATGCCGCTGACGAGAGTAATTAATCACTCGCGTTGACTATTGTCTTCTTCCCGCTCGTATATTGCGCCGTGCACTATCTGAGAAACTGCAGCCACCCGTGTTCGTAATTAAACGTGAATCATCTCTCGGGATAAAACATAGCGTTTACAGTTTTATTCCGTCTCGTGACTGCCGTAAATTTAGTCCGCGCCGCTCGTACGTTATTGACCTGCATTTCGCGTCGTGCGTTTAACACTAAACATGCTCGATATTCACATCACGTTCATAGAACCTTCTCCCCTTGGTAATTAAAAATTTTTAATAGTTTTTATCAAAAAAATATAAATTATTTATTTCAAAACCTTTTATCGTATACAAAGCAGCAATATTATTGTATTTTTGCAATAATTAATTACATATTTATAAATTTGGAAATTTAATAGCATATCTTTAATTCATACAAATTATTACGTTTAATTATATTACATTATTTACGACAATAGAAAGTAGATTTCTATAAAATATCACTAATATAAAGAGATAAATATTTAAAAAAAAATTTAAATAAGATCGTCAGTATATACTTGAGTAAATCTTTACGTAATAATAAATAATTATTAAGTAATTATTCATAAAATTCTCGATTAGAAAGATTTTTAAAAAATTCATTATTACAAATATAAAATTGTTTTTCATCATAATAGGCGGCAAGAATGGGCATAAATAATAGCTGTAGCGTCCGTAACAATCAGGTGACGAGCGCACGATTCGGGTCATCCTTTGTTACGTGAATGAAGAATTCTCACGGTTCTAATCATGATTCATCGTTCTATTCCCCGAGAATCCCGCAAGGCACTTCAAATGCGTATCCTAGAAACCGCAACATTGATAGTGACGAAAAAAAAAAACTAATGGCGCCTCTGAAAGCACCCATTCCGCGCGATCGCAAAGGGACCTTAATTCCTGGCGGCATGTCTATAGCTTTGCGGGTAATGATTCGAGAAGAAGGGATCCCGCCATTAGAGCGGTGTCGGCGGACAAAGGTCTGACAAGTTTATGGCACTTTCGATGGATTTATTTGCTAAGCAGCCGAATCTTCTTAGGTGTTCGCTTCCGAGAGTGCGACCAACTTCGGAGACGCAAAAATTTTTAATTTTCCCCAATCTTTCGCGAGAAATAATTTTCGAGATAAATATGGGTACAAGTCGATTCTGCAAAAGAATTATAGTAACAAATTTTATTAAAGAAGCAAAAATTTGTTCAAATCACGTTGATGCGGTTATCAATCTGCAGGGTGTCTATCTAAAACTTATAAAAAAATTCCCTAATTTTTGAGAATTTAATTTTTCAAGTAATTTGTTCAAAATTCTAGGTAAAATTAGAAAATTTTTAGATGGAACTTTTTAAAATAAGTTTTTTTTGTGTAAATTTTCTAACGCTTCTCACTCATACAAAGGAAAAATAAACCACTTAAATTTTTAATATTAAATTTAAAAATGTATTGAAAAGAACTGAATGACTTTTATACACTCAAAAAAATGTCTTGCTGATATAGGTAGATTTCTAGGTGTCGCAACAAAAATTTATCGCTATTTTTTGTATCTGTTAGAATATTGTCTGTTACATATAGAATTTATAGCAGCAACATTCTAATAATATCTTCTAGAAAATTTAGGTCCCATTGCCAAATGTTAATCACTGCATTGGATAAACATGAGTTTCGATACTACAGCTAGAACGATCTTTGTGAGAAATATAACTGCCAATTATAACTGCAGCATCGAAAAATTGAGAAAAATTGTTTAAAAGAGCTAGATAGATTGGGCGCGTTATACAAATATATTAGACGTGAGGATTATATATTCATTTGTTTCTTGCCGCTAATTTTTTCTGTCTACCACAGCCAAACTTTATAACAAGTATGATTGACCTTAACATGGATAGGCGCCACAGAAAAACATTCTTTCTAAATTTCACAAACAGTTCAGATATAAATTCTGTCTCTGTCACTTAGATTGATTAAATGCGAAACATATGCGATATCACAATATTTGCTAATCATTTATGTACCTCAGTTAATTTTGCGCACCCAGAAAATTTTTGCTGTAGTTGCAATACCACTTTTTTGAGTGTAAGATAAGCATTTTTTATTTGCTTAATATTTTCATTTTTTATTATTAATTGTAAGAATTACAATAAAAAATGTGTACTCCGTATTGTGTATTCAGTATTTTTTGCTATGACAATGAACATATAATCAAAGAGAGAAAGATATATATTTATAATATATTTGAAACATATAATTCAAAATCATTGGCCAATCAAATTGCCGATGCTTGCAATATAAGAACAAAATAATCACAGAGAAAATTTTTGAAAAAATTCCCTAGATTCGAATAAAATTCCATGAGAATTCTCTGATTTTTCAAAGTAAAAACGAAATCCCTGAGAATTACAGATTTTTTAGGTTTTTCCAGAGAATAGACACCCTGCGACAGTTATTAGTGTACTATATATTTTACGTTGAAATATAATATTCGCTCGCACTTACCCCGTGATGAACGCTGTACAGACAACGAGACGCGTGTCCCGAGCACAGACATTGTCCTCCAATGTTAATTTCCTTTATCGAGTAAAAGGCACGTCTTTTGTCGGCGAAAGCTTCGCCGCTGCGTCGAAGACCCTGAAAACGTAGTCGCACGTATCTTGCCTGGGTGAATTCCTGCAGAGTTGTACTGTGGTTCACAGCTCCGGGCCGACCGCTCACCAGGTACGTGTGGATCTTTCAAACAAACAATTAAAATTCCTGTTAGAGCCACAACACAATCTCCCGCCGGGTGGTTTGCTATAATAGATGTATCCATTTCCAAATATACATATATTAAAATAAAATTACATATAAAGAATTAATGAAGAATTATAATTCGAAAGGATAAATTTTACTCACAATCTGTATCCGAAAAATATGATTGTTTTTTAAAAATATTTTTCAAATTAAAAAAACCATAATTTTATTATAATAAATGTAAAATACAAAAGAAATAGAGAAAGAGAGATAATATTTTGCTACCTAAAAATAAATGCCAACTTTATCATAAAAGAAAGAATAAAAGAAATGTTAATAGGATAAAATCAGATGTGATATCCATAACTTTGTGGCTGTTGAACAATCAGCGACGGTCAATTAGCGTCGGCGGGCAAAGCTATTAAATTCCGGAGACGTGGGCAAAGAAGTAAATCATCCGTGAATGGCGCCGCGCGCTGAGAAGGGAACGGCAGGTTCCGTAAATGGAGGACACGCGGTACCTAATAAGGAACAATCGCTTGTGTATTTAGGATACTTCGCGATCTTTTGCTGATTGCCGAATTTCGCTTTTAATTATTTATTCCTGCTTTCAATGACTCAACAAAGTTACTTACTACACAATTGGAAAATTCGTGATTTCTTGTTAAAAAATACACCGGTTAAAATTTTTGTATTAAATATTTGACACATTCATGTGTTAATTTAACATATTGCTGTTGTGTTAATTGAATTCAAGTATTAAATTATTAAAACGATTGAAAAAAGTGTAAAAATAACACAATGTGCATCTATTTTTTATGTTACACAATAGATATGTTCCGTATTATTAGTGACAGGATTTATCTGTTAAAATTTACAGAAAAAAAAATGTTAATTTTATTCTACAATAGGAGTGAGAGTGAGTATAGACCGTCAATAACATTTTTCCAAGTTATATAATTTTATCATTAAAAATATGTTAATTTTACACAAAATTTATTTCAAATTACTTTGAGGTTTGTATTTATTTTGTGTTAAAATATTAACATAGTATTAGTGTCACTTAACATATCCACATTATGTTAAATTAACACAAAAATTTGTGTGGACCGTTTGGGACATGTGATATCTGTTAAATTTAACACAAATTTTTCAACTATGTATACGTTACTTATTACGATCCTTTTCCCTGATACAAATACATAACCTTTCGGTTTTTTTTTCATCTCTCATCTTTTCATTTTTTAAATAATTATAAAAAATATTTCTCTCAAAAGACGTCACGCGAGCAATTCGCGAAAAAATAATAAGTGCTCGCTGAAACAAAGATTGTCAGGTCGAAGGGATTAAACGAGGCGCAGGTAACTGTGTTTAATTCATACAAGCTCGCTCCGAATTCTCCGTAGCTCCGTAGCTGATAATTAAAGCTCGTGCCTCGAGATCACGAGAGCACACGCGATCGATCGGTTTCGTGCGAGCGGCGAATTGCGATGAGGGGAAAAAGAGAAGGAACAAAAGAGGGAAAAACGGAGAGACAGAGAGAGAAAGAGAGAATCGATGATACAAAAACGGCGATCCCTACATTCCGGCCATGTACGGAGCTACCTGGCCGTATAAGGGAGTATCGCGTACGCACCTAACATAAGGGGGGAGGGGGAGGGGAAGAGACTTGGCAGTTTCGCACGCGAGCTGGACATGCGAGGAGCAGAAGGAAGGGATCGATGGATCGGAGTGTATCTCTCGATATGCAGCACCCGCCGCCGTTTCGCAAGAAGGGATGTCTCCGCCACGAGAAAGAGGAGATTCCCCTCTCTATGGATCGATCCTCGCTACGCGATAATCACCTCTTACTCCCTGCCTTGGTCGTACGAGTATCTTTTTAAGGATTCGCGCGGATACGCGAATATGGTTGAAATAACGAGGAGATCATATCGGAAATTTCTGTGTCTCTTAAGGTACGAATGTTATCTCATCAAATAATGCGAATACTATTGGCAGTAAAGTTGCATGTTTATATATGTCGAAGATACTAAAGATGACAAGTTTCCGTTAAATAGGAGAAGATATTCAATCTGTTACGAGAGAAAAAAATTAACAGAAAAATTTATTAAGGAAAAATATGTTAAAAAGTATTTATATCATTAAATTTTTATAAAAGAGAAATTTTATTTTTAATTTTAATTTTTAATTTTCAGACACACAACTAAAAAAGCTAAGAAACAAACAAATTTACTTTAGATTGACTTTACTAATAAATGGATTTCATTATTTATCAAAGAGCAATAGTGTCCATCCATTTAAGGATGTTCTGGAGGTACCGGTCCAGTCAAAAGATATGGAAATATTAAAAACACCGATATTAATCCTCCAGAGATCCAAAGAAAAAAAAATGTATATAAATAGTTACGGCAAGTCTAATAGAATGTAAAAAACGTAAAAAAAAATTTAAAAAATTTAAGAATTTAAAAAATTAAAAAAAAATAAAAAAAGATAAAAAAAGTTTTAAGAGTGAATTTGTCCTGAATTCAACTTAACAAAGTGAAATTTGTGAAAAATTATGAAATAAAGTAATTACAAGCAATAATTTCACTGATTTTTTGCAATTTCTTTAAAACTATGTTGTAAATCGTTTAAAATCTTGTTGCCACATTTTTGTTTGTTGATAATGTACTTGTGTGTAAAATATCATTATATTGGTAGCATTTTTTTACACTTTTCTCTGTAACGCCATAAGGTTACGTGTTAAAACTCGGATATTCAAAAATTGATAACTTTTTATCTAAATTGTGAATCGATCTGAAATTTGGCCCCGAACTTTGAAAGAGAATACAAAATATGACATTAAATTTTCATCAACTTCGTAGCATTTTGACAAACCCCATTCAGAACATCCTTAATAACTTGTCACATACAGCGCTGACAAGTATAAAATAGCATTAACACGAATACATATGATTGTTTCGCGCAGATATAATAAGTACGAATGTTATTTCATCAAATAATGTGAATATTATTAGCAGTAAAGTTACATGTTTATGTATGTCGAAGCTACTAAAGATGACAAGTTTCCGCTAAATAGGAGAAGATATTCAATCTGTTACTGAGAGAAAAAAATTAACAAGTATAAAATATAGCGTTAATACGATTATTTAAAAAAAAAGTGAAAGAAAAGCGCCAAGTGCACGCGCATAAGCGTCTTTTGCTATAAAAAAACTCTTATACAAAATAGTGTTATTTTAATTATTTTAATACAAAAACACTCTCACATTTACGAACGCTATCCTTGTCGCACCGACTTACGAACGATATCCTTCTCACACAGCCTCGCGTACGCCTCGCGCTATCCTTGTCTTACGCTCATATGGACACCACGCGCTATCCTTCTCCCACACCTATAGCAATGTCTACACCGTTGTATCTGTTGTGGCGTGCATAACGAAAAATTTTGTCGCGCGAAGAAAAGTCAAGTGCTTTTCCTTCGCCCGTGCTCTCCGACACACTTGAACGCGCCAGTAATAAACATGCTAAAAAATATGTGCGCGTTCACTTGGCGCCTTTTTTTCACTTTTTTTAAAAAAAAGTAATCTTTTAGCAGTTATGTCATTTTTTTTACTATGTGTTATATAATATCTTATTTCTGTTTACGTGCAATCAGATTAAATGAATATATCTAATATTACATTTCTGAATTATAACGCTTTTATTTCTTTGATTGATACATATAATATATACATACGCTTGTGCTATACTATAGCTTTGTCAAAATCTTAGCAACAGCTTGAAAAATTCTTCTAGTCCCACTAAAAAATAAATGTATATTTTTAAATTATTTAAAAAAATAAATAGTAATTTAATCTTCCTGCGCTTCACCAATGTTATTTATACTTATCTGTAACTGTCTATGATGCATGACAAATAACTATATGACAATTTTTGCTGACAATAATTTGTAGCAAGCACTTGGCAATATCTGTTAGAACAGACGTGGCTGACTGGGAGAGTTATGTACCTAGATTGAAAGTGGTCATGAAAAATGTTCCGTATGTGGCCAGGTTTGCCGAATGGAATAACTTGGACCATTTCGTCGCCATCTTGAATCTTCGTATATGTATAGTGTTACGTTTAGTTGTGGTAGTAATTAGTAAGTAGTGTGTCATCCAACACACTTACTGATCACTAATACAACTAAACATAACGCTTTTTCTTTGTGTGCGTTATCCCCTCCCACGCTACGGCAACGGGCAGAGTCTCAAACCTGGCATCCCTGCTCCAACCATACAAGATTCGCGCATGCACATTGGGGACTTGCGTGAATGATGATGATGATGACGTGGACGTTTCTTACATGAAAAATTTTCACATTGAGACTTTTGCATCATATACCTCCGTTCACGATACATGTAGAAAAAAAATAAAGACACTTTTATTATATAATTTAAACCCCAACTATCGATTAAGCTTATAAAAAATACGATCGGTTCAGCCGTTATTGAGACCCAATAATCTAAAAGCTCCTATAATCTAACTCAATAGCCGACTCGCGTATAGATCCCCGGAGTGCCTCGCTATTGCTACGCGTTACTTGGCGCGAGACACTATCGTGTCTCTTGATATACGTTACATATCGATTATGTTCCGTGCAGATATAATTATACCTCGTTTCCTCGATAACTTTATGACAGAAAATTAAAAATGCAGCTTTCGATGAATGAAACAAATCGAAAGATGATGAAGGAAGCAACTTACAAATTTCTATCGTGAAGAAACGCATTACTCGCGGTAAAACTTATACAAGGACGTTACTCAACGATAACGAGGTGAATGCTAAATTATAGTAGCGGCAATTATATATGACGCAAATCCGAAGTTATCGTCGCAAAACAGTACCAATCGCGCATTAATGCTTCGGGATATGCTGGTATAACAGCATAATATGATAGCAAAAAACTTTTGTCTCGCTCTTAATGCATTACTTCCGATATCGTTGCGTGTCGCGATTTAATGTAACGGTTCACCAAAAGAAATTAATTGAGAAGTAACGGTTGGTACGTACACATGATA